CATGTTCTGTGTTGTCATCAGACAAGTTCTCATGACTTTAAAGGGGCTTTTGTTTGGATAGTATATTTGGCTTGGGGAATCTTGGACATAGATCTAGATTCTGGATAGAGGAAACCAATCGTCTTCCTGAGGTAGAATATTTGACTGGAGCATCAATTATGGTACTAACTGAAGATGCCCTAAAGTTGTATGATCTATCAAGCTTGATCTAAACAGCTCTAGCCCAAAATTGTTTAATGCTTGGGATTGTCATATTGGGGCTGGTACTATAGGAGCTACATCTGGCAATACTCAATCATCTAGCAAGAATACTTAATCCCAAGTGATGGATTTGTGGATAGATATTCTAGATCTAGCAAGATCTGTTTGGAAGAGGACTATTTCTTCTTTCACTACTGTTTTTAGAGCTCTTGTGTTGAAGGGTGAGCTCACTACTTTGTATTGAATCCTGTATATAATAGTAACATTTGATATCTAGTTTTGGTCTTGCAGTTAGCTATTTTTAAATTTAATATTGGTGTGTCCAATATATTTCTATCCTGGAGAGACATGATGAAGTTCGGGAAATAGTCAAAGTAAACTAGTCCTTCGCATAGGCTTGTTTCCACAATTTCAAGCAAGAAGTCATTGAAATTTAAAAATCTACAATCCTTGAGATAGAGATATAGAGATGTGTTTAGTTCTTCTTGGGTTAGAGGTTCAGCTACCACTTGCACAAGTCCAACATGGAGATAATTGTATTTTTGTCTATGTTTCTGTGATGACCCCACCTTACCTAAAGCGTACCAAAGGATTTAGCAGACTATTTGCCTAACTCTCGCCAACACTCGCTACAAGTCTCAATCAATCACAATAAAGTATGCCAAAATAACATTGAGGTACGCTAATATAACATCTAAATTCTACAAATCATCCCAATAATATTTAAATTCTTCAAATCCTCTAAAATCCAAACTTAAGTACAAGCCAAAAGAGAAGGGATTAAACATCTAGTTTCCATAATACAGTTTGCCTGTCAACATACAAGCTCAAGATTTCAAATGAAACCATTGCTGTCCTTGATGTCTCTCATCCCTATAAGGAAAACAATTATCAAAATGAGTGTATGCCCGGTGAGGTTCTCAGCAAACAAGTAACAGAAAGCACCACAAATTTCACATTTGTCACAATCGTAGGCTTCATAAAAGAATCAACATCTAGATAAATCAAGAATAAGGTCAATAAATAAGCAAGTAATTCTATCAAATTAGCACCATTACCTAAAATAATCAAAGAAACAATTTAACGCAATAAGAAATGGATACGGGTATTGATACGGATTTAGAGGTGTCTCCCGCCAGGTTCCAGACATAGCACTTACCTCCGTTCAGTATTTCACTTGCAACTAAAAGGATAAAATCGACTCTTGCAAGCCAGTTCAGCAGCAGCATTTTTTGAGTCTGTTGACACTTCGTCAACTATTGAAATTCAGTAATAAACAATGTATGTAGATCATAGCTTAATTCCAGTCTCCATCCACTGATCATCCCTTACTGAGACTAAATGCCAAATATAAAACAATAGAAGACGTGATACTCGAGTATACCGAATCCAGTGCAATAAACAGTGAACACTATCCATGGTTCGTCAATCTACTCGACTAAGCCCTTGCTGGGTTGATTCGACTAATTAGCCAATAGGATTTGGGATCCCAAGCACTCAGTATAGTCGATTGGATAACATACCCAAACAACTTTCAAGCCATGCACACGTATATTAGTTTACTTATAAACAGGATAACAAGAGTTTAGTCAAGTTAGGTCGAGTGTAATAAAGTATACATTTACCTATTCATTTACAGTTCAAGATATAAGCAGTAGCAATCAACCAAGCACATTAAGCATCATTCCAGTAAATCATGTAGTCCTAACATGTACTTAGAACACTCACCGACTTAGTGAGAATTGTACACTTCGGCTCGGGATCACCCTCTTGCCCCTTCTTGAGTGCTGAGACCAAACATAAGTACACATATGCATGTCGATTCCAACCATCAACATACCATGAGAGAGTGCAGATTACATTCAAGTCTCAAACAAACCAACTCCCACTCCTGCCCAATTGCGGATGCAGCAAGGCCAAGGTTTAAATAAGTAGTCAACTTGTTGACTAAAAATCCTTGATTTAATCACTAAACTATTTGTAATCAAAATTGTAGTACACCAAAGTTTGAGATGCTATGACTACTCTCAAATATATAGTGTGTTAAATTTTATAAGACATCAAAATAGTCAAACAATCCATATTTTGACGAACGAATTTTTTTAATTTCCTTTTTTATATTCATTTTTAATCATCAATCTTTAGGTGATTAAAATATATCGAGCATCAAATAACTGAGATGCAAGAAAACTTTATAAAAGAAATTATGTGAAATTCAAACATAGTCAACAATACTAATGTTGACATCATCTAATTAAATAATAATATGAAATAAATGTACATAAGTGCCATGCACAAAAATACTACATAATTCCGAATAAAAACAGGATTATAAAGACAAAATTGATATTGAAATAAATCCATAACCAATGTAAAGTCATGCCTTTAGTTACTTATCTCATAATAAGGTAATAGAAATTCAATAAGCATGTAGATCTATTCATATAAGGTCAACCAATCATCTTCCATAGATTAATATAATACTAATCCTTTTAACTTTAGTGATTATAAATTTCTTAAATGTATGATTGTTTGATTACTACAACATGTTAGAGTCTTGAGATTATGCCACAAATCTAATAGCATATGCACTAATGCAGTATATCAATACAACAAGAACATGACTTGATATGCAAAATGAATCAAGCAGTATATATGATATAGTTGTTCAACCAATTTAAATATACGTAGGTAAGATTCAAATGAATTACATACTTGATGGCTGAATAACAACTCTTTATATATTTCTCAAATTGTTATACTTATTGATAATAACAATCAATGCATATAATGCTCATAATCACAAATATGTAAGTCCAAGAAGCATTCAAATTACTTGCAAATTATACCAGATTATTGGAAGAAATTTGGATAAATTGCATAGCCAAAGAAGGTATCATACGAATGATACATATTCATGGGATTAGTCATTAGTTCTCAATTATTGAGAAAATGAGGCCATAGATCCTGTGGCAAATTAGATTCGATTCATTTAAACTTGATACGAATCTCTAAAACTTATATTAAATTGCCAATAAGCTATGAATTAATAAGCTGAACAACATAGCTAGAAGCTGGCTCTAACACAACATGTTAAACAAGTAGGTTTAAATAAGTTGTACTACGTAGCGAAAATTTAAATGATTTACCTCAAACCATTGTTATCAAACAGGGATTAAATCCGAATAGTTCCTTGTCTTCTTGCCTTCTTCTTCTCTATATAAACAATTTCTACTAACAAAGAAAATGTGTAGATGTGTAGAATAAGAGATAAGTAGAAGAAGGAATTAGAGTAAGAATCTTCTAACCTATGCTTAACTGGAGAGTATTGTCTTGATGGAATACCACAAGCTATTTATAGCATAAGTTAGGGACCCTTACTGATAAATATCAAAATCCTAGAGTTTTCTTCTATCAAGAAAATCTTGCCATAATTCATAATCCTTTCTGACTAATTGATTGATTTGATTGATTAGTTGATTGAATAAAATATCAATTAGCAGAAGATAAAAATCAAGCATTAACAAATAACATATACTAATTAATTATTAATCAAATAGCAATCAATTAATTAGAATATCAATCACAATCATTATCTAATAGGAGATACTAATTAATTATTGACAAAATATCAATCAATTAATAAAGACATCAATCACTAGAATCTATATTAGGTAATAATTGCCTCTAAAAGAGGTAAGTCTTACAAAAATAACTTTCTAAAATATTAATGATTGTATACTTCAAAATCCCCAAGATTATTGAAAGCCACATTATTATACTCAAAGTTAAATTATTATTCTCTCCGTCCTAATATGTTTTTGGAGAATGAGGCACTCTATGAAAACATGTAATATTGTAACTAGATTAGGTGGTATTGGATGAACTCGTATATGTAACTTTCAAATTTAGAATATTCACATAATAAAGGTGTGTCGAAATTTGAAAAAGTTACGTTTGTATAAATTTCAAAACGTTTATTCTTTTTTTTGGACATAAAAAAATGTAGAAGATAACCTTCATCATGAGACTGGGGGAGGAGTATAGAAGCAAGCAACGCATATAGTTAGGTAAATGACTTGGTTCTAAGTCATTGAGGATGGATTGTATGAAAAAAAAGAAAGCAATTGGCCAACGTGAATCATATTAATCACGTACAGTTCAGCTACTGTAGGACTCATTCAAATAGTGTGAGGACTCGCAAAATTTACTTATTTAATCTCCTATTTTTAGTTTATTTAATTATTTTATTTGGCCTTTTACTCTGATATTATTTCTAAACTCTTGAGACCTAATTACATGGAAATATAGTTTCATTATATTTTTAAAGTGACTTGTTTCAAAAATTAATTTCCTGGAGCTTGTTTAGTGAAAATAGTGAACACGTCTTTGGAAATCTTGACCGATTGAAAGTACAATAAGTTTGGAATATTGGAGATTTATGTAATGGACCTAAATTAGGTATTTTAATATTTAAATACTCAAGTGATAGTTATTAGTACTATCGTTATAAGAATTTCTCGGAAGTTTCGTATTATCGCACTTAAATTGGAGGTAGGCGTTTTTACGCGCGATTTAATTGAAGAACTTTAGACCCTTAGTTAGGGGTAAGTAAGAGTGAATAATATTAATATGAATACAAGTGCATTAGAGATTTAGTGCACTAGTGAAACAAATGCAAGAGGAATCGAGCACAAAACGCAGGAGAGTTGACTTTTAGAGCATTTTGGGCCACACATTCTTAAGCTTCTCATAGGTGCATCACACTAGATCAAAACCCTTCAATTCATCATCTAAAGTGCCGTGCAACTCCTTCTTTTTCTGCTCCAGGAACAGCCGGCCAAGGAAACAAAAGAAACAACTCAAAGCTCTTCAAATTCCATCTTCATTTCTTCAACAAAACACCACCAAACTCCACCAAAATTGAACCACACCTAGCTAATCACTTGGTGATCATCTTAAGCTAGAAAAGGGGCTTCATTTCCACGGTTTTCTTGAGCTTCAAAGTGACCAAAAATTCTGATTTAGTCATCAAGAGAGGTAATGAACGATCAACCTCTTAATTCTTGATTTATGGAAGTTAGATTACACTCATGAGCTCTTGGATTCTCATGGGTAGCTTTAATTGTTGTAAAATTGGTGAGTGGCTCTATAAACTCCCACTTTGATAGAAAGACTGATTTAATGATTGATTATGAAATTAATGGTGGTTTAGTGTTTTAATTAGTGGATTAATGTTGTATTGTTGGTAGAAAATCATAGGAGGTGCTTGGAACAAAAGTGACCGTTTTACCCCCTGCTCTGTCCTGCCATTTTTGTGCAAAATTTTGAGGTTCTAATGACTTGATTATGTTGTTTACATGTTATTGTGAGTGTGTACAAAATTTCATTGAAAAATAACATGATTTGGTTGGTCAAATGAGTTGATTTCCAAAGTTAGCAAAACTGGAAAATGAATCCCGTATTGCCCAGGCAGTCATTTTGTTTCGTTCATAACTCTGTACTCCGATGTCGAAATTGAGTGCCGTCAGTGGCATTTGAAACTAGACATTCCCAGCTTTCCATTGGTATCAAATGCACGTTCTGGTTCCACTTGAGTTAGCCACACCATTCGTTTGAAAATCACTGCCCTGTTTCGTTGCTCTCCAGGAGACAGGACAGAAATTACTTCTTGATGCTCAAAAATGAGTTGCTTGTGAATAGATTTTGAAAATGGTTTCTTCTGAGAAATTCTATATTTCTAAAAGATATTTTCAACGCCACCAACCACGTTCAATTCCGAGTTGAATTGAGTGAGTTGTGTCCATATTTCGAAACTGATGCAGTGAGTAAAAATCCTCTTTTTGGCTAGTAAAGGCCTAACCCTTGGTTGGGACTTGTTGTTTTTGAAATTCTTGGTGTTAATCACCTACCAAATGTATCTTGGATTCTTATTAGACCTGGTTATCACAAATGAGACATGTTTTAGGCATTTTATTGGCCAAAGGTTTTAGAAAAGAAAATTTGAAGTACAAGGCAGATTTGCCTTGAAAATTCTTGAAACTTTGATGGTTTTGTTAACCAACTTGCCGAATGAATTTTCCTATGAAATTTGACAAGGGAATAGCTTTTATATGGTAGTGTAATACTGCTAATTTTGGTGCCATTCTGAGTCTATTTCAATGTCCAACTGAAGTCCAAAGTTCATGTTTAAATCTGGAAATTCTTGATCGAGGAGGAATTTTTAGCCAACTTTGAGCTGCTATATCTTGGCGTTCAAAACATTGATTCTTGTTCTGTTTGTTTTGTTTTAAACTTTGATTGTAACTCTAATTGAGTTCTAAATTTCGGAGGCTAGTTCGTATTGTGTGAATTTTGCCGAATTTTCAAAGTTGGTCAAAAACCAACCCGAAACTGTCTTAATAGTCCCAAGCAGCAACTTTGAGTCAATTTTTGAATACCTTCCGTTTGGAATCATGGAAAAGTATCTCTAGGAACTTTTAGTGCTTTTGAAGAAGTTTCCAACGGTATCAAGCTTTCTAATTATGGACCTACATAGTGCAAGATACGATTTTTCTAAAATTGACACCCAAAGCTGAAATTTGTCAATTTCTTAGAAAATGAGATTTTGGAACTTGCCTTCTTTTCTTGATATCGATTGAACATTTTGAACTCGATTTCATGGAAAATGTTAGTCTCTCTCTTTAGACTTTAAAACTTTACTCTTGAGCCTCGATTATTAATAATTAAGGGCCAATTCATGAATTCTCCTTAGATTGTACAACCTTCTTTGATAAGTAGGGGTTCTAAGTGATAGTGTATAATAGTTAATGGTTATTTGCTCAGGCGCTCAAGGGGACCTTCAAGAGGAACTAGAAGTGGACGCCTAGACACTTGTTTGAGTATTTACTCTCTTGTTGCAATAGGTGAGTGTTCCATATAGGAATATGTAATTGAAATAAGTCTATGACATGCTTAACCCATGGTCATTAAGTGTTAAGTGCTATATGTTAAGTATTTACCACACTCATGCATATTTGAATAAGGTATACTTGAATTACTCGACGTGAAATACCTGAAGTATGTATATTTGAACTATTCGATATGAAACACTTGAAGAGCATATTTATGTGATTACTTGAAATACTAGATATGAAATGCTTGGAGAGCATATTTACATGATGTGTTTAAATGATTAATTATGCTATGGCAGCATAAGTCGGTTAGAGTGAATCTCCTCGACTCTTACGTGGTAAAAGTGGAAAACGGCCAATGGCGACCTATTAAAATGACATATGTCTACCAATTAACCGTAATTACTATCGTTTACCGTTAACGTGTTACTTACCGTTTTCTAATCTATTTGGTTACTTGCCTACTTGATTATCTGCTTGCGTAATCACGAACTTACTTGATTACTTGACCACCTGATTACCTGATTATCATAAATTAAATGCTCATATGAAGTGGGCCACTGTTTTAAGGCGAGTGTGTACTTTATCTCACTCGACCTTTAAACATGATAAATTTTTACCGTACGTCGATTACTTGATTACTTGTGCATGTTGTAAGCTCTAAGCTGAACTTGGGCCCTGCCCTTGGTTACTGACCTACTCGAGCCAGGACTGGGCTCGGTCGGGTAGGTTGGAACCCTGGGCCACCGTTTCAGTAAACTCGAGTATTACCACTGGAGGGATAAGGTGATGGCCAGTCAAACCGAGGGGATCCGGAAGTCATAAGGTGCAGATGACCGACAGAGTTCCACTGGAACACCGTATCCTACAGTATATATTTACCTTGTGTCATGATAATTGTTTCACGCTAAAATGCCAACATGAAATCCTGAGCCATGCCTGTGTTATGCTCCATACCTGTTATCTGTCCAATGTACTCATATCATGATACCTGTTTCATGTTAATGCTCCATACCTGTAACATGCTTATAATTACTCGCACCTGTAATAAGCTCCAATCACTTGTGAACTATACATGCCAATGTCTTGAACCATGATAACTGTCTCATAATAAATGTATCATACCATGATACATGTCTCAAATTAACCGTACAATGATTATCACCTCATGATAACACGCCATTGTGTAACATTAAATCATGCATATGATATGCCCAACTTACTTGATTTATTTGAACTGTTAGAGTGTCTTGGAACCTCACTGGGCTGTGTAGCTCATCCCACGTTGTGATTTTCTTTTACAGGGTTCGAGACCAATGGTGCTCGTGAGTAGTACTAGATTGTTTTCTTTTGAAAACTTTAAGTTATATTATAACGGATGGCTATTGTACAATTTTCCGTTGAGTTGTATTTAAACTTGAAAGTTACATAATTGTAAGTGTGAGATATTTGAAATACTTTAATTATATATTGAAGTTACTTAAAATATTTCGAGCTTTTGAATGATGGATTGTAGTGAGTCCTGGCGAGAGCTGGGCAGGCGTCCCGCGGATACCCTTTGATTCGCCTTAGGGAGAAGTGTGGGCGTCACAAATAGCAAGCAACTACTAATAGTTTATTGATCAAGCTTACAAATAGGAAGCAAACTTAAGCAGTATTCTATCAAACATTAGGCAAGTTAGTTATAAGCATTGTGATTGACCTGAAGGGATGTAATCAGCAAAGCAAGCAAAAGGCCAATGTTACTGTAGCAGCTCCTCTTACTAACACGTGGCACATTGGATGAATTTTGAACCTTTTCTTTTGCTTTGTCTATGGACTTTACATTGTTTACTTTTCCCAAACTACCACGTAAGACATCTTCTACACTGAGCCATGTGGTTGACTCTAGGGAGGGAGTCTACTGGGGAGAAATTTTTTTCCATTTTGTGGCCTCAGAATGTTGACTACTTCTGTGAATAGTATACCACTATTGAGGGCATTTGTGTCTTTTTATGTAAAATTACTACTTTGTCCAGTGAAAAAAAAATGGCTCTCAAAACAGTAACTAACTATTTAGGCTGTTTGTGACTTTTTGCCTGCCATTCTTCTCCTATCTTTGGCTGTGTTTTCCATTCCTTTCCTTTGTACATCAGACACAATCAAGAATAGTAGCTGAACTGCTTCTATGCATGGTTAGAAAAAACAAAGAAGCAGGTAAGCTTCTTCCTTTCTCCGTATCTTTTTTCACCAAATCCTTCTTATTCTCCACTGTAGAATACACATGGCTAACCTATTAGTGTTAATTATTGCCATGGAAACCACCAATTGTTTCATAGATTGAGTCTAATTTTTGGCACTTTTTTCTCCTTCGTTACATTTTGTGACATTGCGTACAATAGAGGAGAAGAAAAGAGAACTCCAACAAGAAAGAGTTCTGGAGAAAGGGCTGTAGGAAAAGTAAGAATTTATTTCTTTTCCCTTTTGGTTCTGAATTTTATTTTCACCCTTTAGGTATTTATTAGATGATATTCTAACTTTAGTACAAAAATTTTCTTTTTCCTCTTTTTTGCTAAATGTGAATATATGTGTCAATGAATTTTTCTTCATTTTATTTTTTTCCTTTTTAAATTTTTTTGTATCAGATGTTCTTCATTTTGTTCTTTCTTTTTCTCTTATTTTTTTATTAGATGATGTTCTGATATTCGAGATGGTTTTTTCTCTTTTGTGTTGTTTCTTTTGGTTGCAATGATTTATCTAGCAAATACAGCTATTCAAGCAAGTCAAGGTTTTGTGAAATCTCATAGACCAATGGCCATCAAAAGTGTTTGATAAAATGTTTGTGTGAAACTTGGGATAGCAGAGAAAACACTGAGAGAATGATCGCACAGGTAAATTCTACTCCGGTCTATATCATTTTTTTCTCTACGGCCAATTCCTTCTACGTTTTTTATGGCACTTTATCTTTCCTTTTCAACATTTTTTTCAGGGCACAAATTATCCTATCAAGAAGTTAATTATTAGTAGATTAGTAGTTGGAACATTGATCTACAATTTTTTGTGCTATAGAAGTTGCCGATTCAAGTATGTCTTACACTTCATCTTCATTTAATAACTTAAAAAACTTATGGTTACCGTTTGTCCAGGTAAAGAGCTACCACATAAATTCTGATGATGCCGATGTAATATAGCATACGATTGAGAATTTCCAACTGTAGAAGTCGAAATTTTGTATTGTTAGTTTGTTATCCCAACCCATATCTTCGATATATCATATGTATTGTATTCCAAAGTTTAATATAAAATTTCTAAGATACATCTTAGACATATCTTAGATAAATCATATGCACATATCCTAGAAATTTTGTGTTGTTAGTTTCTTATCTCTGCACATATTGGTGTACTTAAGAGTTTAATTTCAGGGACCAAGGGGGACATTGTTGACACCATTAACGGTGATTCTGGCAAGTGACTTTATTCTGGGAATGATGGATTTGAGATAAACTTGGCTAATGCGGTGGCTTATTCTCTCCTAGGAGTGCTAATGGGCTTGTCAAGAGTATTGGAGCTGGTGGAGTTGAGAGCAGAAGTCAGCAAACTTTTGTGGGTTCTGGTGTTGGAAAAGAAATTATCCCTCAGGCATCTAAGCCAGCTCAAGAGAAGAAGCCCCAGGTTTCTACTGCTAATGGTCATGCTACAGCCCCTGCTGCTAAGTAAATTTTTCTCCTTTCCTCTGCTGCTTAACATCATAGGAAATAAATAAACTCTTAAATTTTTGTTAATTTCCAGTTCACTGTGTTTTGTTGGAGTAACAAAACAGAAAGGTTTATGTATTGTTGATAACAAGAGCCTAAGAGGCAAAATTGCTAAAATGATAACTAGAACCACTATTGTCCAATTAATTTGTTTAATAATCTTATATCATTATTTAAAGGATAGTCTTTATGAACTCATTATGATTCAAATTGAAATTCATATTCTTATGGTGAAGGCTTGAACTTAATAGTACCCTATAATAACACCCATTGCTTTAAAGACATAGAACTTGCATGTTTAACCATGGCTTTGGTACATGTTGATTTAAGACTTCTGAGTTTCAATTTAGTTTTGCTAAAAATGTCAAGTTTTGGCTGATTTTTTCTCAGAAACTTTTGGCTTAAGACCCAAAAATCTATCCATATTGAGATAGAATGTACCATTAGATGTCCATCATGCAAGGAAGAAATTGGAGTTGAAGCGAGGTAAATGTTATTATTTACTTTTCTAATGCTAGAATTAATAAATCATTTACAACAATTATAACTTCTAATTTGCTTCAGGTAATGGCAAAATATGATAGGCGTCGCTTGGGATTTGTGGTAAATGATGTAACAGGATCTTTACATACTGCAATTTTCAGTCCATATGTTTAGAAATTGTTATCATATACCGCTCTTCATCTAGCCAGCTGATGACCAAGTAAGTTCAACTCCATGAGCTATAACTTGATGAGTTATTGCATAATGATGAGTGCAACTTGATAAATGCGCTTAAATGCTCTTAGAAGAACAATTGTAGGAAAGGATTGAAATATTATACTAAAAAGTCGTATTTTTCCTTAAAGAATTAATGAGGCTTTGTTCAACTTATTTGATCCATTTTATAGCTTTAAGTTTTTCTTATTGGATTAATTCTTTTGTATGACATTTTATCATAAGTTTACCCTTACAAATTCATGTATAACTTTTGGTCTTGACTCTTGAGATATCCTAAAGCCTTATAAGAGCATTCTTTTGGTCAGTTGGAAATAATTGAAAAAGATAAGCTGTCTTAGTTATGGCGTAGGCATAAGTGACTTATAAATTTCTACTATTTGGTTTTTGAATGAGGCTGCCATAAAAAAAAATGACTCTGTATGCTTTAATAAGTTATTTGTATCTAATGTATCTGCTTATCTGTTAAAATTTTAGAATGCTACCTTAGTTTTTATTGTAAAAAGCTATATTGCTTCGCAGTTGGAATTTGCATAGTCACACATGTAATTGTTGATTAAATATTTTAAACAAATATTTCGAACAAAGTTCACTAATGAAATTAAGGATGCTACATATTTGCTAAACTAGCCTCTCATGTTGAGGGGGTTACAATGGTTTTTTCATCCATGCTTTTGATCTAGAAAATCCAAGGACAAAAGGTCAGCGAAGAACAACACTATCAAAGCATACACTACTGAGGTTGGAGGTCAAATTTCAATAGCAATCCCAAATGAAGATCACAAAAGATGTTCCCAAATTTCATATCAATGCTCAAGATCCTTTATGATGGCGTTCTCATAAAGAACTTGATGGAGTAAACGCAAGTTAGCAATCTAATTAGTGGGCGGTCAGTATTTCAATTTATAGTTGTCTAGGATATAGCACTACTAAAAAGTTTATGACAGGCTATTGAATTACTTGGCAGTGGGAAAGTAGAAAAGATGTTAATATTGAACTAGTGCTCAGTTTCTAAACTCTATTATTTTACTCAAATGATGAATTTGTATGCTTAATTCTTCTTTCTCCCTTTTATTAATCTTCTAACTTTCTTTAAACAATTTTCTTCTTACAGGTTTGGATGATTGCAGCTCTCAGCTCCATTAGTTTTTAGCATATATAATGGAACCAATCATTATAGCATTTTTTTTTCCTTTTTGGCTTTGGATTCTTGAAAAAATTATTGTTGAGATTTTAAGTAGGATATAAATTATGTCAATATCTTTGAAACTACAAAATTGAAATACAATTCTAGACTTTTACCTAAATGAAAAATGTATTTATGAACTATATTATCATCTATTAATTTTTAATCCAAAATTCAAGAGATCATGATACACAGAAAATGGTACATTAAAAGTTATACAATTGAACTAACATTGCCACTTAATATATTCCAAGGAAAGAGACTCCTATGCTTTCTTAAGAAAGCAACTCCAAGAGAAAAAGCAATTAAAGGAACAGCTTTTACCATTATCACAAGCTGTGAAGTTGAACAAGTCCCGGCTAGCCAGCAGACTTAAATGAACCTTCACAATGATTATGCATAAAATTAGTTTCCAACAATGTAATGCTTATGTGCTTCAGAACTGAACTACTTGTGTTTTAATTCAATTATCTTATATCTATTTATCATTTGTGTTAATTCGACTTAGCTATTTTGACTTGCTACCTACGTATGTTTTAATTCTATTATCTTGTATTTGTCTATCCTCTATGTTAATGTACTTCAATTTAATCTCTTTTACCTTGAAAAGCAAATTTATTGATAAGCTATAAATCCAATTCATATATAGATGTCCCTCTATCAAACACGAATAACTTCTGCAAAAATGCTAACCATTATTTCCTATTGTTTTTCAATTTCTCTGCGTATATTTGCTGAACAAATTATGCATATAATTTTAAAACAAAAAGTATATAAGTATATTATTAATTTGTACTTGAATTAAATTTGTTAAATGAAAAATGTAGACAATAATAAATCCAGTGACAATGACAAAAAAATGTATATTTGAAAGCTATCATTCAAAGAGGGGAAAAAAAGCATCTTAATGAAATGTAATAAAGACATGTATATTTTTCTCATCAAATTTGCATGCTATACTTGGTGGTAATTTCAGTTAGCATTAATGACTCATATTTTAACTAAATATTAATGTATTAATGACTCAAAAGAAAATTGACAAAAAAATGAAAAAATTCATTTGTTCAAATTTAAATACTGATAATCCAATTTCTCTTCATTTCAATAATATACATACTTTATGTATACTTTCACACATGACACTCTACTGACAAACATTCTATCAAATTTTGCTAACCATTAACGTTTCAAGGTGGGCACTGCCAAACACTTACTAGTCTCTACGCACAGCCAACACTTACTAGTCTCTAATCACATAAGGCGCGGAAGGGTTGGGAATAGTGATTTCCTTTGGTTTCTTTGTAATTTGAGTGTTGATTTTATCCTCATTTATCTTTTTCGGTGTGATGGAACTCATTGTGGGGTTATCTCTGCTTCATGTTTGTCGCCCACAAATTCTGAATTTTGGTGGCTCTAGTCCAATTTTACCCTTCCACGCTGGTTTCGCTGTTGTTCTCTATAGATTTTGGGCTTTTTGGTCCTTTTATTGCAAATAGTACTTTTAGTGGTTAGGTCGCTACCTGCTTCATATGTCTACCCAAATTTCTTCGGGCCTCTCACGTGTTTTGCAAAATTTTGTTGGGTCTGCCGCCTTATGCTAGCCCACTATGGTTGGGTTTCAGACATAAGAAAAATACCACTATATCCATCCATATATAGCTAAAAGCATATGATACGCCAAAAAAAAACTTTAGCTGCCAAATTATTCTTCACAAGTTAAATAGTACCAACAACAAACAATTAAAAATTTGATACAATTTACACATTACTAATCAATACTAAATATTAGAAAATCAACACAACCTAGAATAATACAACTTAAATTATACTATCATACACACTAAAAAATCCTTCAATTAATCCACTCTCACAACTTTCACTAGCATAAAATTAATCAGAGCCAATAATTAAATCACAATTAGACAAATCACAAATATACAGTAAACACTAAAAACACCAAAAAATTAAAAATGCAAAACAATTAACCACTCTACCAATATAAAAGCATATCAAAATCATAATCATTCAAAATATGACAAATTCATACTACATTGTAAAAATTTGTTACAAATCTTTACACATGTTTCAATATAAAATACATGTACATATAATTAATAAACAAACAAAGGAGGGTTGGATTGGATGGTCAGATGAAAGGAATGATAAGTAATAAATTTTGAACCTAAAATCTTCCACTTATAAAAAATAATAATAATAATAAAACCTATAGTACCCCAAAACACACAAAAAAACGTATAATATGGGCACCCCGCAACCCCGCGGGGACCAATGCCTAATTTTTCATTATACTAATACGATTTCTTAACCATGTGGATCACATGCTACCACCCAATAGAAATCAATGCCATTTGTTAACATCGACTACTTTTATCATATAACATCCAGTCAAAATATGCCAAAACACAAAGGGATTATCTGGGTACTATATGTGTGATCATAAAATGCAAGAAAGAAGTGGAGTTGTCGAAGAAATCTGAAATCATAAAAGGGGACCTTCTTGACGAAAAAATAGTCATAATGTGCCATATTGGCGTTAAGAAATCTGATGAAAAGCCTGATAACATCCCTTGGGGGCATAATACTGTGAACGGCCAAATCAGCGAACGGACACTAAATTCCAGTCTCGATCTTTGACCCCTTCCGGGGACCCTAAAGCAATCGAAGTGCTATAATGAATGCTAGTTATGATTTTCAACTCATAACTTTAAAATGGTAAACAAATGAGTCACTGCTTTATGATTCACCATTAATACTTGTCAATTGTCATCTTACTATTATGGTTGTTTCTTTTTGCGTAAGCAGTATTACTAGCATGATTGTTGTTTCCATTCCTATGTTAACAAACTTGAGAAATTCAAAATCTGAAAAACATGTAATGTTTGGTGACTTTCAATATTGTCACTCAAACCAGACGATTCTCTAGGAGATACTCGTTAGCATTTTCCATGGGAAAAAGTTTTCTCCAAATTTATTTGTTCAAAATGGAAAATATTTGAGATTTAACATTCCTTCAAAACGAAATTAAAACAATAATTTATCTTGTTATTAGTTTATTACTCGTTCTCTGGAAGACCTCTGATTTCGAAGTCAAGAATTCAAATCAGGGAGTATTGTGGAACAGGTTAATCCCAATTCCTTGCACAGCTCCGGATACAAAGCCTTCCTTAACTCAGCATAGACCTCCCCGTTCCACTTATCTAACTTCTGCTGTTCACCAGCCAGATGGTTTGCTTTTTCCTCTGCAACTTCCAGCGCATTGTCTCCAGGCTCAGGCTTCGTCTCTAAAATATGGATTTTTGCTGCTGCTTTTGTATCGTAGTGTGAGTCGCACAAGACAAAGTTACGGTAAGCCAGAGGGTAGGCAACCTTTGACCTAATCAGAGCCGCGAAGTAGGCTGGTAAAGCCATCTGTTTGGCCGACAAACTTAGTTGTAGGCAACGGGTACCTTTCTTCATGGTGAGATAGTCATGGCTGAGACCGAGCATCACCCCTGCTTCTTGCGTGTAGCCATTGATGGCCGCAATTGTGGGCATGGGAAGGGAGATGAGATCTGATACTACATGCTTGAAGTCGTCAATCATCATTTCGTAGTGGCGTTTGTAACTTTCATTTGACCCTTTTGCTTGCTCCCTGGCATATCTGATAAGGGGAAAAGGGTAACAACGTCAGATTTGAACAGATTACAAGAAGCCGCTCGAAGGGTTTTAGATTCTACGGAAGGTACATGTCATCCAAACACATAGTGTAAAGAAAGTAACACCAAAGAGTTACAAAAGATCTAAAACCTGCTTTTATTTCCATTAATTATTTGTTTAGTAATTTATTTTATTTTTACTTTTTAAGTTTTAAGGTACAATGGGAAGGTTTAGGAACCGAATCTTGGCTCTAAGGCCAGAAACGAATATGGCAAATTATGGTTTCACATCTTTTTCTTAGCCTACAATTCGATCTTATGATCTTTTCAGCTCAATCAATGGTGGAATCGTAGAAGAGGTTATACAGTCTTACTTTTAGGCTAAATTTGTACTCTGAGTATTGTCCATACAATTTCTTCCTAATATTTTCAGCCCAGAGAAAAATTGTCAGGGTAAACGACAGAACGCAAGGTTTGTAACTCCATTTTTCTGTGGTATTCTGCCAAAATGGTAGAAAAAGAGCAGTAATTAAATTACTTAACTTCTCTTCTCATAATCATAGGAATTACTTGAAATTTGCTTTGGAAATTAGTCAGTCTCTGTGATCAATATTTCTTTCTTAACTTCGGAAAATTTGTGATTTCTGGCATATAAAACCTTGCTGTCGGTTTGTGCTCTTAAGATGAACTTCTCTTGGACGATGCTCTTCAATTGCAAAGAGATATTATCTTTAACAAGTCATGTTTAATTTGCCAGTAACATACCTGTCATCAAATCCTTTGCAGAATACTTCACCCTCACCAGTGGTGATGAGGACAGATTCCTTGGTGGCCTCGGACTTAACCACATCAAGACATTCCCGGATAGTCTGAATGAGTTCCGGGTTTAAAACATTGCCATAGCTGGCTTGGTTCAAAGTGAGTAGGAAAGATTTGTTAGTTTCATGTTGCTGCAAGCATATGCCAGAGCCGTACTGCCCTTTCAGGTAGTGGTAATGGCGTTTTGCTTGTCTGAACAATTTGGTAGCATGACTGTTAACAGAATAGACAATGGTAGGTCTTTTAGTTCCAGAAATACGCTGCTTCCGAACATGTGGTAATGAGTATTTATACTTGTAGATGCGGGAGAACTGCAGTTTTCGCCTCTAGTTTGTTTTCCATTGATGGGAATTGGAGCAGTTATGGATGAATTAGGTGCAATTGTGTACGGTTATTATACTTTATTCATAACTTGGTGTATACTTATAAACGCGGTTGTATTTAGGTATTGAATTGATGTATACGAATAGAATAAAATTTATGAATACAGTAAAATTATATAAAAGTACACTATTTTGTATAAAAAGTACAATAACAGTTCAATTGTACCATTTTAACTACATGTGCCTGTAGTCCTTCTGATGTAACTACTTGATCATCTCTTTTTGTCCATTGACATTTTTATTTAGGGAAGTTGCTATGTTTGGATAGCAAATTTTTTCAAAAAA